CAGGGCCTTCTCTGTTGCTGCTCCAGCCCTATGGAATGAGCTACGACCAGAGATCCAGACCCTACCCACTCTCATGGCCTTCCGAAAAGCTATCAAAACCTGGCTATTCTGGCAGGACTGGGGCTGTCGACCTCTGGATTGAGGTCCAGCCCCGCTTAGATTGGGTGCATGTTGTGTCTTTTTAAATTTGTTGTGTTTTTTTCTGTTTTTAATTTCTCTTAACTTCTGTTTCTGTAAGCCGCCCAGAGTCCTTTGGGATTGGGCGGCCTATAAATTTAATAAACAGTAAACAGTAAACAGATCAAGAGGCTATATTTCTTGATTCTCACAGTTTATTATTTTGGAAAAAGTTTTCTTTATTTTTTCTTTCCATACGCATTTACAAATATACATTCTTGTAGATACTGTTAACATTTATCTGTTGACGTCTAACAGTTATCAAAATCTGCTTAAGAATATAATAGACACTTTCTTGCCACCCTGCATCTCCATCTTGTTTTGCAACAATCCTACTCCTTCCTTCTTTTCAATCTTCTTTTTCTACGTTCATCTTTCCTCCTCTCCTTCCTCTTTTCTTCTTCCCCTTCCTCTCCCCCACCCCTCCTCTCTTCTTCTCCTCCTTATCCTCTCTCTTACTCTTACTATCCCTCCTTTGCCCTTTCTTCTTTCCCCTCCTCTTCCTTCCTCCTCCCGTTGTTGCCCTTTCTTGTTTTTTGTGTAGTGAATTTTCGGGGTGGCAGGGAACACCCATCTGTTCTGATCCAGCTCCCCAAACACAAGAAACCCTCTGAAATGAGCGCCAGCAGCCCCAGAAAAAAGTTCCTCTCTCACCTCAGGCTAACAAGTCTGTCTGGCTAGGAGATGAATAGTTGTCTATCACACCTATTCATCTCTGCTCCCTACCTTTTATCTCCAGAGCTAGGGAGGGGCCTTGCTAGCAGCAGTGGCTCTTCCATCCCAAGGTCCAGCCCATAGATTTGCACTGCTCTCCTCTCCTCTGCCTTCTGTACATCCACATGTCAGGCACTGGACCCAGCTGTTCCTCCTCTTCCTCATCAGCCACCTTCAGACCTGGGGGCTGTTGACTCTCCATCTGAGGACTGACGGACGGTCCAGGCTTCACTTCTGTCTTTCTCTGCCAGCTCCGTTCCCTCTTCCCCCCTCGGAGCTCCCAGCTTGCCTTGATGCTGACCTTGACTCCCACACTGCGGCCTCCTCTGATTCGACTGTTGGAGGGGCCGGCAGCCGACAGGCTGCAAAACTATCTTGATGGGGCAGGTTCTTCTCCTCTTGTCCCACCAGATCGAAGGAAGGCTGCTTTGACACCATTGTGCTGAGGATTGGGTCTGACGCACAAAGTTACAGTTAATTATAATTCAAGTTCCACAGTTTCTTCTTATTTCCCAATTCTGATCCAGCTCCTGTATTCCAGTTCAGCTGAAGTAGAGAGAAAAAGAAGGGGGAGACATTCTTCTTTTCCTCCACAGCCACAAATTCAAACCCTCCTTAAACACTTGGCTTTCTTTGTTCTTCCTTCTGGCAAATGGCTCCAAATTCTTTCAACACGATGATTTTCAGCAATACAACTTGGTATTTTTAAATCCAGTTTTAAATCCAGGAAAGATAGAATTATGGACAGAAAAAAGAAGACTTTTTCTTGATTTTTCCTTGTGTTATCTTCCACCTCTCATTGATGAGGGTTGCTTAAGATATGTAAATTAGAACAAGCTCAAACAGAGCAAGTCTCCTTGGTGTTAGTATTTTTAGCTGCTGTTCCCCCCTCCTTCTTTTCCCATGTGCAGTTCCCAATTGTCAGTTAATCTCTTTTAAAGACACAATCTTTTCAGCTCCAAATTCAAAGCTTGCATTTCAGTGGGTTAGTCAATTCTCATTTCTGTCTCCAATTTGTTTAAAGCAAGCAGTTCTCTTTGGCCTTCACGATTTAAACCACATTTTTTTTCTTTCTTTCTTTTCTTTCCACTAAAATCCCAATCCGTCCGTTAATATTATTTTCTACTCACGAGATTCTTTGCCTTTTCCAAAATTCTGATTTGTGTCAGTTGGTTATTCAAATCTTCTCACCAGGTCTCATCCCTCCTTCCAGACACCGCTCCTGCTCCAAAGCTTAGTCCGGAAGCTTCAGCTTTGTAGCAACCATTTTACAACGTCGCATCCCCCGACGCCGATTCAGAGAGCTAATCTTTGACCTACAAGAAACCTGTTACATTCTTCTACGTCTAATGTGACGCAGCTTCCTTCTTCACTTTCCCTTCAGGAAAGTTCTGATCCAAAGATCCATCGGCATCAGTTTGTCAGCCAGAATTTACGTGAGGCTCTTCAGACCCCACGGTTTTTTCTGTCTGTCTCGCTGAGGTACTTCCGGTCCCTCTGGGGCGTGGTTCCCACGTTGGGAACCACTGCTTTTAGAAGGAAGGGATAATGCTAGTTTTGCAGTAACACACACACACACACACACACACACACACACACACACACACAGCCTCCCCAAGTGCCTTGCTCTGTGTTGCAGCTCTCTCTGCTTTGTGTTAAAGAAGTACCGGAGGAAGAAACAAGGAAGCAAATGTCATCCAAGGCGCAGGCGTGTCCACCGATGGAACTCCAGCCCCTCGGACTCCAGCAGTGACTATGCAGAGCCCGATTTGGATGCCGACAGTGCTGAGGATGAGAGGCCCAAGGCCCATCGGACCAAAGGGGCAGGCCGCTGGAGAGTTCCCAGCCTGGATCTCTGGGTCCCTGCCAGGAAAGAGCTGTCTGAAGCCAACCCTGGAGAGCTGCCCGCTGTCACTCGGCTTTCCAAGGGTTTTGATGTCAACAGGAAGCGGCTGCTGGGTCCAGAAGAGGGCCAGAGGACAGAAGATCTCATTGCCCACATCCCTGAGACTCCAGCAATGGCTCAAATGAAAGGGAACGAGGTAAAAAGGACACACACACCCACACACACACACACACACACACACTGGGTGTACGGTACCTAAAATCCCAGCTTTAGGTGGCTCAGTTTTGGATGTGGTTTCCAGAGACCACTGAGTTACCATTTTTGCAGAGGGGGAAATCCTGTAATGTGCTATTAAAATATGACTATGATAGGGACACAGTGGCTAAGATGCTGAGCTTGTCGATCAGAAAGGTCGGCAGTTCGAATCCCTAGCGCTGTGTAATAGAGTGAGCTCCCGTGACTTGTCCCAGCTTCTGCCAACCTAGCAGTTCGGAAGCACGTAAAAAATTGCAAGTAGAAAAATAGGAGCCAT